AGCTCTTATCGGCAATCGTCGTCCCTAATGACGACTCCCTGCGTCGTGAGCTACTTTCCCGTTTCCACGACGGTCCGTTGGCGGGTCACCCTGGCTGCACACGGATGGTCGAAATTCTTCGGCGTTCTTTTTGGTGGCCACGGATGGCTAAGGATGCCGAGAATTACGTCCTCTCCTGTGATTCATGCCAGCGTAACAAGTCTATCTCTGGTAAGCCCCACGGATTGCGACAGCCTTTGCCTGTCCCTGCGGCCCCTTGGGAGAGTGTTTCCATGGACTTCGTTGTGGCGTTGCCTAAAACTGAGGGGGGGTATGACGCGGTGTTGGTCCTGGTCGACCGCCTGACGAAAATGGTTCACCTTGCACCCACCACGTCATCCTGCACCGCAGAGCACACTGCACGTTTATTTTTTGATAACGTTGTGCGTCTGCATGGTGTTCCCAAGTCTGTCGTTTCGGTTCGTGGTGGCCAATTCACTAGTAAATTTTGGGACGCATTGGGGAAGTTGGTAGGTATGCGCATAAACCTTTCCACTGCCTACCACCCCCAGTCCGATGGCCAAACCGAGCGAACTAACCGGACTTTAGGTGATATGTTACGTAACTTCGCGGGTCGAACACCCTCTGTCTGGGATACCTGCTTGACGGTGGCCGAATTCGCGATTAATAATGCCGTTAGCCGCTCGACTGGTCAAAGCCCCTTTTTTCTAAATTACGGTTACAATCCTGTTCTGCCTGTTTTGCGCGAACTTGACGTAAACGTCCCCGCGGCTAAGACCTTTGCCAAGTCGTTTGTGTCCCGACTGACAGAGGCTAAGGCATGCCTTGACTCAGCCCAACAGCGCGCAGCGGACTACTACAACAAGTCCAAACGGGACGTCACCTTCACCAAGGGCCAACTGGTCATGCTAAGCACCAAGAACCTGCGTTCTCTGGCCGAAGGTTCCCGTAAGCTGTTGCCTCGCTGGGTTGGGCCTTACCCTGTTGTGCGCATGGTGGGTTCGGTTGCTGTACAACTTGAACTCCCTCCTGAAATGCGCGTCCACCCTACTTTTCACGTGTCCTTAGTACGTCCATATCGTGGGTCTGTGCCCATCCCTGAAGCGCCTGCGCCTCCTGCTGCTATAGAGGCCGCGCCTACTACTTGGTTGTCCGGTAGGCAAACCATGTATGCAGTGGAACGAATTTTGGACTATCGAACTCGACGCGTGGGTAAGGCTAGGCGCAAGCGCACGGTGCACGAATACTTAGTCAAATGGGCTGGGTATTCGTCCGAACACAACAGCTGGGAACCGGCGCGTAACTTCACCCCCGACCTCAAACCATTGCTCGATGCGGCTCGTCTTAGGGTGCAGTCCCAGGTGGTATCGCGTTAGTTAGTTTTACTAATCTTGTTTTGCATAGCGAGCCGTGTGCGACGGGGACGTCCCCTTTAGGGGGGGGAAATAGTTGTTGTATCCTGTAAAGGTTTCCCGCCACGGTTTGGGGTGCCGAATCCTAACTGTCAGTGGTTAGCTCGTCCACTCCGATTTACCAAACTCCAATATTACTAACTAACTCCCGTCAATTCCGCGGTTGGTGATTACAGGTATTAACTAATACTGATATTAGTTTAATTGCGGCTACTGTTAGCTGCGGCGGCTAAGCGACTACTGTTAGTCGTCCGCCATCTAAATGCCGCACTGTTGCGGAAGTCCATGGGCGCCGGCGGATCAAACGACTACTGTTAGTCGTCCGCCATTCAAGTGCCGCACTGTTGCGGAAGTGCATGGGCGACGGCGGCTAAGCGACTACTGTTAGTCGTCCGCCATCCAAATGCCGCACTGTTGCGGAAGTCCATAGGCGCCGGCGGGTAACACGACTACTGTTAGTCGTCCGCCATTCAAGTGCCGCACTGCTGCGGAAGTGTATGGGCGACGGCGGCTAAGCGACTACTGTTAGTCGTCCGCCACCTTAATGCCGCACCACTGCGGAAGTCCATACCTACGTATGGGCGGGGGTTTTACTTACGTAAAGCTGGGACCTGCGTCCCAGTTTCGTCTGACCGAGCGAGAGTAGTTCCTGCGAACTATGGCTTCTGGATTCGGTGCCGCCCAGTCGTACTGGGAATCCTTATCGGCGCGAGGCCCAAGTGGAGTCACTGATGACTACTTATTCAAGACACTTGTCTCAATCGGTATCTTTCGATGCCCCCATTATGTGGTTGTGTCGTCTGAAGACTACAACAGAGGAGCTTCTGAGCGGCAACGTAGACCAGGCCGCTCTGCAGCAGGCCAACGCGCAGAACATGTCAGCTAGGGATCCACGGACAGCACCACCGAAGCCTCGGGACCGCTCTCCAGACATGGTCATCATCAAACACATCGAAACACCCTGCCATCTGCAAGAGAGCAGCCATTCTTCCCCCCGGACCAAGGACGCCGGCCGGCGAGGCCAGGAACCCCATCCAGCCCCGGGAGCCTGATCAAGCAGTGAAGGAGTGTCCCCAGAAGGTGCGAACCCAGCAGCTTTGCCTGATGACTCGCCTTGTGGAGGAGGCTGGTAGTAGGATTATTCAAGTGTACTAACAGGCTCCAAGATACAGTCTTGACTACAAATGGCCTGAATGACGTTCAGTAACCATTCTGTTTGGATCCTAACCCCCGCGCGCACAACAAGTCGATGTGCTTGGCACTGAATTTGTCACTTCCAGGTACAAAATGCGGCTGTCCCACTGACATGCACCTCGCCAGATGCAGCGCCCGTTTCTCTAGCAAGTGTCATCCAGTGAGTCGTCCAGTGAGTGCCTGTTTTGACGCCACCCAGTTTCAATCTGGGGACCTTCTGTGTGTTAGACGGGGATCCTCAG